GTGTGTGCGTGTGTGTGTGTGTGTGTGTGTGTGTGAGAGAGAGAGAGAGAGAGAGAGAGAGAGAGAGAGAGAGAGAGATGGGAACGCAGACAACGGGCAGAACGGGCAGATGTGTCTGCTTTGGGCGCTGAATGCGTCCCCATTTAGACACATCGGTTGCAAGTGTCTTTTCAACCTGCGCCCAGCCTGCGCCCTTTCGGACTTTTACGCCCCCGCCCCCGCGCCTTTTTCATTTTGAAATTGGCAACTCAAGGACCGCTCAAGGACCGGGGACTCCTACGGGCAGTTACCTGGCCTCCGCAAGCAACGACTGCCGGGACCCCTGCAATTGTTTTCCCAGCAAAGAAATTCACGACCTTCCAACGACCACTGGGCCCGTACGAAAGATCCGTACAACCAGACGACTAAAATTTGACTCAAGGGTGGCTGCAAACAGCTATGATGACACCTGAACCTCAGCCCAACCTCACCAGAACCTCGTTCCAACCTCACCCGAACCTGATGGAGGGACACAAAACTAGTCGGAGAACAAAAGTGGCCGGAGCAATGATTAGGCGGCTCACCATTAGAGCAGGGATGATGCTGACCTTCATAAGGCTCATCTCCCTCGCTATTCTTCTTACTTGCTATTGGTGGATTGCGGCCTCTTGCGCCTCTTCGATGCACAATCAGTTCCAAGGGCATGCCCCTGGGACTGAACGTGGCAATCGTACAGGCCCTCCACGGACACCACATGGCAGGGGACCAAGACTGGGACCTGTACTGACCAGAGCTACTGTCCTTGCAGAGCGTTGGATTGACGAGTCAAGGAACAACGGGCATGGGTATTTGTCCATTTTCGCAGGACGTCAACGTCTATTCTCAAGTTATCCCCTCAACCCCGAGGGTTGGATTAACAGATCAACAAGTGACAGCCATTGTAAGGCCACGGGGTACAGGGGCAAGAAGGGGGACAAGTGTGTGCGTCGAGGGGGGCATGGAGGAGAAATCTCTCAGGCGAGGTCTGATGAGCCTGGGCACCGAGAGGAGATCGTCCGCCGGTCGACGTCAATGAGGGGGCAGAGTGTTCCCCCTGCTCCAAGACCCAGCGAAAACAACCTGTTGGTCGCGCAAAGTGGGGGAAAGAAGTTACTTGCACACCGAGTGCAGCCTGGGGGAGAAATATCGACGGCTGATGTGTCTGGACACCACAAGGACATCATCCGCCAATTGACGTCAAGGAGAGGGGAGAGGGCTCGCCCTCCCCCGGAGCCCGGCGGAAACAACCTGTTAGTCGTGCAAAGTGGGGATGCGAAGACAATCTATGCCAGTCCTCGCAGCTATGGGGGGTATAACTGGAATACCCACTTGTACGGGTCCTCAAGCGGAGAGAGGACTGCATCTGGCGGAAGTCAGGGGAGCTATGGTGGACACTTACGCCCGTCCCCGTCAAATATGGGGAAGACAAGCGGCACTCCACATAGATCGGGAGGACATGTACTCCATTCCTTCCTCTCGAGCGGGAGAACAGACATTGGCAGTCCATGGAGCTACGGCGAACACATCAGATCGCTCTCGTCCAAGGTGGGGAGGACAGCTACCAATCTTCGCTCCTGCAAACGGAGACTGCAAACTGTCCTCCATCAAGCTGCCAAATATGGTGGACACAACTCCTCGTTCCTGTTGAGGGGAAAGGAGACATATGGCCGTCGAGGAAAATACAGTGGACTTCGTCAGATATCCCAATCCAGCGCACAAAGGACAAATGGCAGTCTGCGAAGAGATGGTGGCTATGGTGGATATGGGGAACTAGTACAACTATCTTTGTTGCGAAGAAGGGTGGGGGAAGAGGAAGAAGATCATAATAGCGGACTTGCGCACGTGTGGCGACTTAGGGGAGACAGGGAGTATGACAGTGCGCAGAGATATGGGAGAGAACGACGCCTATCTTCGCTGTTGAGAAGGGAGAAGAGTGAGGCGAAAGGAGATGGGGAGGAGGATGGGGAAGGGGAGGACCATCGGTGGATTTCCACCAGGGATACGTTCGTTTCCATGTCGAAAGCGGGAAAGCCCATGGGCAACCGCGGGACTCCGAGATCAGCGGAAGATCTGCGGCTGTTCCAGCAACAGGTGTGGTTGTCATCACCATGGCGAAAGAAGGGCGGTCTGTCCCAATCCCGATCATTGACAAGCGGTTCTAGCTTATTAGCTATGTCAAGGAATGTGACAACGAAGATGGGTATGGGTATAAGTCTATGTTCACAAGACGTCAACCCATATTCTTCGCAAGAAGCCCTCCAGCAAAGGAGAGAGGAGAGAGATGATTATGCTCCTCCATCGCGCCCATGTCGTCATGTTGACTGTAAAGTGGCTATTGTCAACGGTCGGCAACTGGCGGCGGATTCTTTAGACTCTGCGACCAGTCATCCCCCACGTCAGAACAATCAAGAATCATTGGAGTCCAGGGCCGGGGCCACCTCCAGCACCCCAAGCGCTCATTCCAGTTCCCCGCCCTTCCTCTCCTCTTCTCCCCCCTCTTCCTCTTCCTCCTCCTCCTCTTCCTCCCCCTCTTCTTCTTCTCCCACATCTTTCTCTTCTTCTTCTTCTTCTTCTTCTTCTCAATTCCCTTTATCCTCTTCTTCGCCGTCTTCCTCTTCTCCTTCCTTTTCTTCTTCTCATTCTTCTCCATCCTCTTTCTCCGCTTCTTCTTCCTTATCTTCGTCCTCTTCTTCCCTATCTTTGTCCTCTTCTTCCCTATCTTTGTCCTCTTTTTCTTCCTCCTTTTCTTCCTCTTCTCCCTCTTCTTCTCGATCCCCGCCTTCTTCGTCTTCTTCCTCTTCCTCTTCATCCTCTTCTCAATCTTCTTCATCTTCTTCTTCCCCCCCTTCTTCCCCTTCTTCCTCGCGCTCTGTCTTCTTTTCGAGGACGCGAAGGCACTGGATCACCCCACTTTATCGACGGAAGGATAAGGTTGGACACGATAAGATAAATTTGCGGACGTATTCGGCGCCTCCTAGGTATCATCCAGGTGGGCGGGTGATGTCCGATCCAGTTTCTGTACACATCATCTGGTACGGAAATTGGACTCGGACCACTTCCAGACTGGAACCGTTCGACATGAAGTTCCAGATTGCCATTCGGGCCTTCATCGACTCTCTCTTCGTTGACGATGATGTTGCTAGACTGTCAGCAGAAGAAGAAATGCAAGTAACTACATCAGCAGTGACTGCAGAGGAGGGAGAGACTCAAATCTTCGAGGAGTTTGAAGCAGTAGCAGAAGAAGGAGGAGGGGGAGGAGGAAGAGAAAGGCTAGATAGGGAGGGAGAGGTAAAGGAGAGCAAACTAGAGGCTTTATTACAAAGTGGATTTGATCAATCAGGTGAGAGACTTTCTGTCACGTCAGCAACTTGGGATTTTGTACCGAGAGGAGGAGTAGGAGGTGGAGAAAGGTTAGACAGGGACGAAGAGGAAGAGGAGAGCAAATTAAAATTAGAAGCTTTATCGCAAAATAAACTCGATAAATCTGATGAGGAGTTCTCTGCTATGTCAACAGGTCGGCAATCTATACCGAGAAGAAGAGAAGGTGGAGAAGGAAGAGACGGAGGAGGAGGAGGAGGAGGAGAAAGGTTATATAGGAAAGAAGAGGAAGGGAGAAACAAATTAGAATTAGAAACTTTATCGCATATCGGATTTGATGGATCTAGTGGGAGATTCTCTGCCACGTCAACAACTTGGCAACCTCTTCCAAGAGTTGTTGATTGGTGGAAGATCAACACTGAATACAGTGACGATGGTGGTCACCATGTGACCTCTCGTGTTACTCGAGGATCGGAGGTTTTTGACTCTTACTCTCATGGATTGCAGCTGAATGGGGATGACATCGTATCTATTGTAGGAAGAGCCATGAATGATGCTTCATCACCATCAACATCATCCTTGCCAGTCAGCAGCAAGGCCATTTACTTTGTCATTACAAGTGATAATGTCATCGTTTCTGGTCATTGCACCGAGTTATGCGCTTATCACGATATCTTCTTGCGACGAGCCCAGCGAAACTTTGTGTACGAGGATAGAAAAGAACGATGTAAGGATAAGGAGGAAGATAAAAGATCCGAGGACAAAAAGAATAAAAGATGTAATAATCGAAAAAGTAAAAAATCCGAGGAAGAAAAAAACAAAAGATTGAAGGATAAGAAAGATAAAAGATCTGAGGAACAAATGAATAAAATATCATGGAAAAAAAATGACAAAATATTGGAGGATAAGAAGGATAAGACTGTAAAAGGAGAGGGATTGGATTCCACGTCAGACGGAAAATTTTTGTTGCGGTCGGTCGGCAAAACACGGGTGGGACGTTCTCGACCTCAACCGCGAGAACAATTACTACTTTTTTCAAAAAAGAGTCTGTCATCAAACTGGATTACAAACCAGGATGGCGGGCAAGATCAGGCGCAGGTAGTTGAAGAGGATGAGAGGAAATGCTTGAAGAGGCTGCATCAACAGAAAAATGAAAAAAAGGAGGAGAGCGAAAAAGAAAGAGAGAATCCGAAACAGATACTAGGGAAAGCAAAGCAGAGCCAGGAGAAGAACAAGAAGATCAACTGCCACGTGGAGGGTCAAACACATCAACGAGTGGGCAACATAATCGGGAAGGGTCAACAAGAGCACACGGAGCAGAAGCAACAAAGCCATGAATTGAGAGGAGTAAAGCTGCGGAAGCAGCAGATGAAGCAAAAAGACAAAAAGAAAAGAAAGGGGGAGGACGAGGGGGGCAAATGGAAGGAGGAGAGGAGTAAGGAGGAGGAGGAGGAGGGGAGTAACAAGAAGGAAAAAAATAAAAAGGAAAAGGAAGGGGGTAAAAATAAGGAGGGAGAGGAGGAGAAATATGAGGAGGAGGACGGGGAAGTAATGTTGAAAAGAAAGCAGCAACATAGACGGGAAAATAAATATCGGTTGCGGGAAGTTCAACAAAAAGAAGACGGGCGCTGGGTAGAAAGTTATCAGGAGCAGGAAGAGGAAGAGGGGGTAGATGATCACGTCGGAATGGTCATCAAGTATGTGTTCTTAGGAAATCCTATTCGTTGCCCGGAAGTCTGTACGTCTTTCAATTCGGATACAATCACACCTAATGGACACATAGCGATTGATGGAGCGGTCAGCATCCTCGCTCATGAATTGATTGAATCAACTAACGACCCAGAGCACAACGCCTGGTACAATTCCCAAGGCTTTGAGTCGGCGGATCTCTGCGCGTGGACATTTGGACACAATGAGAAATTCATGAGGACTGGAGAGTTATATAACATGATAGGAGTGGATGGGAGGAGGTTCTATGCCCAACAGAATTATAGACTCCCAGACCGCGGTTGCTCAACCACAACCTGAAGAAGAAGATAGACAAGTCCAATCAATCAATAACTCATCAATCAATCAATCAATCAGTCGGTCAATCACTGAGTCACTCAATCATTCAATCACTCAATCAATCAATCAATCAATCAATCAATCAACCTATCAACCCATCAACCAATCAGTCAATCAATCAACCAATTAAAATCAATCAATGAGAATCGATTAATCAATCAATCAATCAATCAATATTTCAGTCAATGAGCGGTTTTATGAGCCAATCAACCAATCAAGCAATCAACTGTTGAACATCAGTTGCTATAAGACACCATGAAAAAGACACTGGACAAGCACTTCAATCATGTAATCAATCCGACCAAACCAATAACTCAAACCAATAAAACCAATCAAATCATAATACCATTCAAAAAATCAGGCACTGAGGGTTTTCATAAATTTTCTTTGGCCAAGAATTGAAAGTTTTTTTTCCACAAAATTTGGTTGGGCCTGGGTATGGGATAATTGGGTTTCTGTGTGTACCAATTCGGGTGCAGTGCTGAGTTAAACGAGGGGGCATGCAACGTGACTGAAAATAAAAAGGTGAGTTTGTTCCAATGCAGGAATGGGCCTTGTCCCTCTGAGTTTTCCCCTTCCTTCCTGTATCAGGTTCTTCTCGATCGGGGGTTTCTCTCTTTGGAGTTCCGTTGCGAAGTAATCTCGGGTTTGGTTCTCATCCGACCGGCAACTGGTTTTTACTGGATTGGTCCGTAAAGAAATTTGGGTCCCGGTTATGGTACTGAGGTACTCGCCTTGCCAGATACTTTGGCCCAGGTTTGTCGAGATGAGTATCGAAGGATTTGGGACATCAACAATGAAGGTTTTATTTGGGTTTGCTCCTACCTACGTCCCCCGAATACAATGTACTAGTACAATCATTATAATTGTATTTCGACTGAAAAATGCCCCAAATAGAACTATAACAATCATACGTTGTAATTAGGGGAAGATGGTAGTGTGGTGGGATAACTTTAGGACCTTATAACCGAACTTGGTAGCATGATTATTGATACTTCATCCTTTTACAAACCCCAAATGATGTCGACTAGTGGACAAACTAAAATGAGTGTAGGGTCGTTTTCGCCTTACAGTTAGTGTAGTTCCTGGGTTTTCATGATGAAGACGAGTTGGTTCTACGGTGACTGAATGGTTTCTTAATGATGATTCTACGACTTTTTGTCATGTTGGAGAGATCAATGACGTCCTTCCAGTTTTCTTTATGTCTTTCTATATGCCTCAGCTTTATCTCTGTCTCTCTCCCTCCCCCCATCTCTCTCTCTCTCTCTCTCTCTCTCCATATTCACTATACATTCCAAAAATGCATGATTGTGCGAGACTGATTCGTCGAACTTTCAGCAACTCATCAGGAAGTTGAACCTAGACAGTCTGCTCATGATGCATTTGACTGATTGATAAGGACTCACCACATCGTTTATAGTTAATGATACATGTGGGTCCGGTGTGGGTCATGTATTCTCCCTCCTTGAAAAGCCCAACTCGACATTCCGACGCAGACCATGGCGGTCCGAATTCTAGACCTGTTATTCCCATTCTTCACATTTTAAGTGTTACAGCCGGGAGCTCACTCCGACAAGGAAATGAGGGCAAACCTTCAACTTTTTCACGGGCAAATGCATCACGAGGATAATGTTCGTAGCGATCTGAGAGTAATCGTAAAAGAAAGGAGGGGAAGATACACAGATCGACTTACCTTCACTGTTGAAGGTGAATTGTTGATGATGTAGTGTCCGATCGGTGGGTAAGTAATCTCCTTTCCAACACAAAAAAACTTGAAGAGTTCCTCATAGCCAGAGTATCAGGTCCTAAACTCTTGTTCAGATTGACGTCCTGACCGATAGTAAGTCCTCTTTCTCAACTTCTTCCTCCTCTTCCCTTGCGATCCGTTTGGACTGTACACAAGTTGGATCCCTAACTAGGTACAACCAAAGTGAGGGTGTATTGTGCTCAAGAAAAGTTAACTATCATGTTCCCCGTCTCTTTCATGCCCCTCTTCCTCTCTCTCGTCCTTCCTTTTTTCACTTTATCGTTCGTCCTTTTCAAACCGATCCCATACGCGTGCAACCTATCTTTCAGGACAGATATAGACAAAAAGAGGCGTACATTGTATATTAGGGGAAGATGACCGTTTCAACCATCATAACTGTCCCGATCTCCTTTTCCTTCATATCTTCGAGTCTCTTCTTTCTCGGCCTTTCATCTCGTTCTTTTTTCAACTCCCTTCGTCCTGATCCTGATTTTCAACCGCTGCTATCATGACCAAGTTCCTTCAAAACTAGGACGCGTTGCTTTTAGGGAGAGTCGGCATGTTTTCACCGTGACCATCTCAATCCCTTTCCCCTCGCCTATTTACCTTCTCTTTCATTTCCTTTGTTTGTTCTACGAACCCCTCAACCTTCCTTATTTTCCCTGTAGTCTGATTCTGATGTATGCACAGCGTAGCTTTGCCGAGCATTGTCGAAGGTGATCCTGAATGTTTCCCCTCTTCTGCTTCACAATTCCCCTTCTGCCCTCCGTTCTCTTCCTTTGCTACCGTTTTAACATCTCAACTTGTTCATACGCTTGCACAATCACCCGTACTTACGAACATGAGTTTACTCACATTCGTGTCATTGCTCATGTCTCCCTGTGCTATCGCTCTTTCTCCTCCTCGTATGTTCATTCCCTCGCCTACCACTCTCTTGCTTAGTGCGTATCTATCCTTATTGTTGCGGCAGCAAGTATGCACTTCACGTGCCTCCGCTCGCGTTGGGCCTAATCTGTGTAATACAGTACGGGCATGCATTTCGTGACCGTGTTGATACTTGTGCGCTCTCTTTGTCTCTAGCAGTCATTTTTGCCTTCTAGTCGTGCTCTCGTTTGCTGCCCTTCACGATCCCGTTGGTTGGATCAGGCGCCCGAATCTGCACGCACTTTAGGCCACGATGCAGGCCGACTACCGATCTTCCACGCATTAAGCCCAACCTCCGTTATCCACGAGGCTTCTTCCTTTCCAAAGTGCGTGGTTGGTTGGGGTGGTTGGGATGAATTAGCCCCTTGCCTTAAGGCAAATTTCTCCTTGGTTCTTCCAAAATCTCTTCTCGTGTGAAAAAGGAAGGAAAAAAAACGAGCAATCAGACAGATAACCAAAATTAGTAATAACAAAAATAATAATTCAGTTGAATCTAACTTTTTAATTCCCCACGGCGCCAACTGTCAATGAGAGTCTTGCTCTCATTCTAACTGTAACTACCTCTAATTGCGAAATCACGAGATCAAGTCTCGGCCCTTCCAGATGTTAGCGCAAACTTCGAGTTCCTTGCGTCAAAAAGAGTTAGCCTCATGTGGGGAAATTCGATTTTACAGATCTCACATGTAAGTTAAGTCTATTACCCAATGCGCTAGATCTTACTTCGAATTGGAGTAGAACAATTAGACCTAAGTACCCCGTACTGAGGAAATCTCATTTGCCTACCTGTACTTGGCCCAACTATTGGGTGTTTGATAAAAATGGAGTAGAAACGTCTTTAGTTTGATGAATTTGGGTGTTTCTATAATGACCTGTACATTTCCTAAAATTGTGGCTTGTTAACAAACATGACATTAAAAAGTGTTGGTGTTTTAACTATCCCAGTCGCGTGGTCAGAGCTCTTATTATTGTAGACTGACTTCCTAGTAAGTTAGGAGCGGGTTTTAAAAAGTGGTGTTTGATCGGATTCGGAAGAGTGGATAACGCACAATTTTCATGCGTAGCTCTTGAATTTTTGAAAATTTCAGGATATTGTTGATTAGGTTGTGTTATTTTCCAAGAAAACCTATTGCGTCAACCACGAAGTCAAACATGGCGGCAATTCACCCCGTTTTTTTTTTTTTTTTGCCACTTTCTCGTCCTTCGTATGATATCACTGGTAGACCTTATGAACTAATTCAGTTAGCTGCTCGAACCTTTGAGGTCGGGTAAAGTGGCGGTCGTTAGCGCGTGACATGCCACGCCAGAATCCAACCACACGACCGGTTTGGTTGAATGGGATATCTCCTCCGAATGCGGACATAAGAGGCCTTGCCCCACTGCTCTCGAAATGTGCAAAATGACAGTGAATGTTCTGCTAGAATAAGGAAAGATGCACCGCCATGACTTTTGTCTTTTATGCATGTCAAGAATAGTGGAGTGGAGCCCAAGGCGTCGCTCCACTATTCACCAAATGTGCAAAACGTGAATGAACGTCCCGCTAGAACATGGAAAGATACACCACCATATTGTTTCCCTTTTGTCCATGTGGTGAGCAAGGGAGCGAGGCCTAAAGGTTTTGATCCCGCAGAGCACTTTCTTAAAAAAAACGGAAATGTCTTCGCATATGCTTGTCCGCACAGATTAGTGGGTGAAATTGTACAGGTCGGACGTTCCATGGGCTTTTGTGAAACTTGTGTCGAAGGTTTGTGGGCGGGCACGAAACAAGCGGATCCGCTTGGTCCAAAAATCGCCCTACCGGCCTCGTGCGGTGGTCTTCGATGTCCCACATCCTGAAACGTACAGCGTTTTTGTGCGACATTCGGTAACGTGCAACGTTTTACAGTTGGCATTGCAAAAAGTTTTTTCGGTTCCGTTGTACCACAGTCTCACCCCGCCAACACACCCCAACGGTGTGCATGTGCATGCGTTTCGAGCAGCACTACCAATGCAGTCAACGACTCACCTTGCCAGCAGGCCACAACCACGTGCACACGGGTGCGTTTCAAACACCACCACCTACGAGGTCGGTGGTGATGGCGAAATAAAACTACACGCACGCATTGATGGCGACATGGTGGGGAGGCTCGCGGATGACGAACACATTAGTGGGCAAAAATCGTCATAAGCTCGTTGTCGGTGCTAATACCCTTGCAAGGGTATTTGCCCTCATTTTTACAGTTGACACAACCACGACATCGGTCGCCATAACGGTGACGGTCATAAGTAAATGATACACACGGTCGCCGGGGTGACTTTTCATAACGAATATCCCAATCAAGAAGGTTGAAGGTTCATAAACAAATAAACCAATTCATAAG